TGTTTGGTTTTCTGTTCCACAATAATTGAACTAATTTATACTCCCAACAAGAGTGTAAAAGAATTCCTATTTCTCTACATCCTCTCCAGCATCTGTTGTCTCCAGGTTTTTTAATGATTGCCATTCTAACTGGCGTGAGATGTTATCTCAATGTGGTTTTGATTTGCATTTCTCTAATGACCGGCGATGATGAGCATCTTTTCATGTTTGTTGGCTACATAAATGTCTTCTTTTGAAAAGTGTCTGTTCAGATGACATGATAGTATATCTAGAAGACCCCATTGTCTCAGCCCAAAATCTCCTTAAACTGATAAGCAACTTCAACAAAGTCTCAGGATACAAAATCAATGTGCAGAAATCACAAGCATTCCTATACACCAGTAACAGACTTAAAGAGAGCCAAATCAAGAATGAACTGCCATTTACAATTGCTATAAAGAGAATAAAATACCTAGTAATACAACTAACAAAGGATATAAAGGACCTCTTCAAGGAGAACTACAAACCACTGCTCAAGGAAATAAGAGGGGACGCAGACAGATGGAAAAATATTCCATGCTCATAGTTAGGAAGAATCAATATTGTGAAAATGGCCATACTGCCCAAAGTAATTTTTAGATTCAGTGCTATCCCCATCAAGTTACCAAGGACCTTTTTCACAGAACTGGAAAAAAACACTTTAAAACTTCAGATGAAACCACAGAGAGCTCACAAAGCCAAGACGATCCTAAGCAAAAACACAAAGCTGGAGGCATCACACTGCCAGACTTCAAACCATACTACAAGGCTACAGTAATCAAAACAGCATGGTACTGGTACCAAAACAGAGACATAGACCAATGGAACAGAACAGAGGCCTCGGAAGCTACACCACACATCTATAACCATCTGATCTTGGAAAAATCTGACAAAAACAAGCAATGAGGAAAGGACTCTATGTTTAATAAATGGTGTTGGGAAAACTGGCTAGCAAAGTGCAGAAAGCAGAAACTGGACCCCTTCTTGTTACCTTACACTAAAATTAACTCCAGATGGATTAAAGATTTAAACATAAAACCTAACACCATAAAAACTCTAGAAGAGCCAGGCGCGGTGGCTCAAGCCTGTAATCCCAGCACTTTGGGAGGCCGAGGCAGGTGGATCACGAGAGATCGAGACCATCCTGGTCAACATGATGAAACCCCGTCTCTACCAAAAATACAAAAAAAATTAGCTGGGCACGGTGGCGTGTGCCTGTAATCCCAGCTACTCAGGAGGCTGAGGCAGGAGAATTGCCTGAACCCAGGAGGTGGAGGTTGTGCTGAGCCGAGATTGCGCCATTGCACTCCAGCCTGGGTAACAAGAGTGAAACTCTGTTTCAAAAAAAAAAAAAAAAAAACTCTAGAAGAAAACTTAGGCAAAACCATCCAGGACATAGGCACAGGCAAGGACTTCATGACTAAAACACCAAAAGCGATAACAAAAGCCACGATAGACAAACTGAATCAAATCAAACTTCAGAGCTTCTGTACAGCAAAAGAATCAATCATTAAAGATTCATATGTTTGTTGGCCTCACATAGGTCTTCTTTTGAAAAGTGTCTGTTCATATCCTTTGCCCACTTTTTGATGGGAGTTGTTTGTTTTTTTCTTGTATATTTGTTTTAGTTCTTTGTAGATTCTGGATATTAGCCCTTTGTCAGATGGGTAGCTTGCAAAAATTTTTTCTCATTCTGTTTGTTGCCAGTTCACTCTAATTATTGTTTCTTTTGATGTGCAGAAGCTCTGAAATTTAATTAGGTCCCATTTGTCTACTTTGGCTTTTGTGGCCATTGCTTTTGGTGTTTTAGTCATGAAGCCCTTGCCTATTCCTATGTCCTGAATGGTTTTGCCTAGGTTTTCTTCTAGGCTTTTTATGGTGTTAGGTCTTATGTTTAAGTTTAATCCATCTGAAGTTAATTTTAGTGTAAGGTGTCAGGAAGGGGTCCAGTTTCTGCTTTCTGCACATGACTAGCCAGTTTTCCCAACACCATTTATTGAACAGGGAATCCTTTCCCCATTGCTTGTTTATGTCAGGTTTATCAAAGATCAGATGGTTGTAGGTATGTAGTGTTACTTCTGAGGCCTCTCTTCTGTTACATTGGTCTATGTCTCTGTTTTGGTACCAGTATCACACAAAAAGCAGGGAAATCTTAGAACAATTGAAAGACACAAAGCAAACAACACAGAAAAATTAGTGATATATGTATCTGGGGAAAATTAGAACCAAGTGTTCCTGAGAAAGATGATCAGACATTTCATGTGTATAAAAGATTCCATCCAGGCCTGGTGCAGTGGCTCATGCCTGCAATCCAAGCACTTTGAGAGGCTGGGGTAGGTGGATCCTGAGGTCAGGAGCTTGAGACCATCCTGGCCAACACAGTGAAGCCCCATCTCTAGTAACAATACAAAAATTAGCCAGGTGTGGTGGTGCATGTCTGTAGTCCTAGCTACTCGGGAGGCTGAGGCAAGAGAATCACTTGAACCCAGTAGGTGGAGTTTGCAGTGAGCTGAGATTGTGCCACTGTACTCCAGCCTGGCAGCGGTTCGAGACTCTGTCTCAAAACAAAAAAAATTCCAATGACAAATCTGGAAGACAAGTCAAATGGTAGAGTACCTGACCCTGACAAATACTCATTAAAATTTTGTTTAATTTATTATAAACAAATTTAATCAGATTAATTATTCAGTTAACTGGCAAATAAAATAGTTGTTTGACTATAAGCCAGTCACTTGACATCTCTAGGTTTCTGTTTCCTCAACTGTAAAATAAGGGAAATTATCTAGATTAGCATTTCCTTAATTTTGTTTAGCTAAAGACTGGGTTCTTATAGTTGTTAATCAGCCCTTGAAAACAAAACCATGGTTGAATGATTTTAGGAAAACCCACATGCTATCTTTCCCTTGCATTTACAAACTGGTATAGCAGACATTTTAAGATGTTTCATTGTAAGAAAATATTATTAATCCAACAATTTCCCAAACTTAATTGACCATTGACTCTTTTCCTTTGGTTTCTAGCCTGTTGGTATTTTAAAGAATATTCTATTTTAAACAAAAATTGTAAATACTACTACTCAGTTTTTGGTGTGTAAATCAGTGTCAGTCTTCAACGTACTTACCAGTCTATAACAGAATAAGTACAAAAACTAAGAGCAGGCATTTAACAATTTTTATAGCAATTTGACATAGTAATTTTATGTTTATTTAATCTAATAATGAAAATCAGAGATTGCTTTTGTATGTTTCCCTTCATTGATTTTTTCCTTGTATATTAATTTTTGTTAGATTTTACTTAGTCTCTTATATATTAAAAATTTTTTGAATGTTCGCAGCAGCTTTATTCATAACAGCAAACAGCAATTCTTTTTTTTAATGGGTTCTTTTTTTTTTGAGATGGAGTTTCACTCTTGTTACCCAGGCTGGAGTGCAATGGCGCGATCTCGGCTCACCGCAACCTCCGCCTCCTGGGTTCAGACAATTCTCCTGCCTCAGCCTCCTGAGTAGCTGGGATTACAGGCACGCGCCACCATGCCCAGCTAATTTTTTGTATTTTTAGTAGAGACGTGGTTTCACCATGTTGACCAGGATGGTCTCGATCTCTTGACCTCGTGATCTACCCGCCTCGGCCTCCCAAAGTGCTGGGATTACAGGCTTGAGCCACCACGCCTGGCTAAATGGGTTCTTTACCACAGATAGTTTCAGAACACCAATGCCATTACCAAAAATATTCACATTATAAATTCCACTAATTCCATGTGGAAGTTGGTAAAGATGAAGCTTTCGGTATTCTACTGCAAACTTTTATCAGAATCTTTAGAAAATCATGGGGAATCTACATTTCCACAGCTCCTAAGTAATTCTGACCGTATTTTGAGAAGTAATGCCTTACACTATGAGCAACCAGATGGAAGAAGCTGTATTTTTATTTATCTTTGTTCCATCAGTAATGAACCCACAGTAACTGAATACATTCATAGCATATGTAAATGTGAAAACTCAGGTAACAATACGGAGTCTCTGTGTTCTATGTTCATGCATAGTTTAGAGTTAAGCAAAACTGGAAACGAATTACTACACTAAAAAATCATATCCTGGCCGGGTGCGGTGGCTCACGCCTGTAATCCCAGCACTTTGGAAGGCCGAGGCAGGTGGATCACAAGGTGAAGAGATCGAGACCATCCTGGTCAACATGGTGAAACCACGTCTCTACTAAAAATACAAAAAATTAGCTGGGCATGGTGGCGCATGCCTGTAATCCCAGCTACTCAGGAGGCTGAGGCAGGAGAATTGCCTGATTCCAGGAGGCGGAGGTTGCGGTGAGCCGAGATCGCGCCATTGCACTCCAGCCTGGGTAACAAGAGCGAAACTCCGTCTCAAAAAAAAAAAAAAAAAAAAAAAAAAATCATATTTTATACATCACTTGTCAGGGAAAACAATCTAATTCTCCAGACACTTCCACTTACAGCCTACTTCATGTTTTAGTTATCTTGAAGTAGGTGGGATTTTTCAGCATGATCCTGCAAAACTGTCAATCATGTCTCTTCTTATCCAAGCATAGCACCATCACAGAAGTGGATTTATTAAACAGCTCTTTAATCCTACAATTAGATATGAAAACACACTCTCAGTCCATGTCATAGCCAACATTACATTCACCAGGTGGAAACAGATAATTTGGACACTTTGTTAAAATATCCTTTTACTACTCCTTGTACAGTGAGGCATCAATCGATCTAATATTACTGTGGAATTTTTGTACATGTTTTCATGTTCATGCCTATAGAAAGCTAAATGTGTAAAGTCCAGCTTGACATGTTTTTCACATTTTTACTCTGTTAATAAGTCAAAATATGTGTGTGAGAGATGAATGCCTCAGAATATTGTGTGTCTGTTTGCTGAAATGACCCTAAACTCTGACTCTGAAGAGTGGTCCTCCACTTGGACCACACTTTGGAACTGTCTGAAGTATTGAAAAATATAGTGCTTGCTTCAGCAGCACACATACTAAAATTGGAACTATACAGAGAAGATTAGCATGGCTCCCGTGCAAAGATGACATACAAAGTTGTGAAGCATTCAATGTTTTTGAGAAAAATGAATACTTTTACACTGTTGGTGGAGATGAAAATTAGTTCAACCATTGTGTAAGACGGTGCGGCGATTCCTGAAAAATCTAGCAGCAAAATACAATTTGACCCAGCAATCCCATTACTAGGTATATAGCCAAAGGAACAGAAATCATTCTATTATAAAGATACATGCACATGTAGGCTCATTACAGCACTGTTCACAATAGCCAAGACATGGAGTCAACCCAAATGCCAATCAATGATAGAATGAATAAAGAAAATGTGGTACATACACACCATGGAATACTATGTAGCCATTAAAAGCGACAAGATCATGTTCTTTGCAGGGACATGGGTGAAGCAAGAAACTGTTATCCTCAGCAAACTGACACAGGAATAGAAAACCAAACACTGCATGTTCTCACTTATAAGTGGGAGGTGAACAATGAGAACACACAGAACAACACACACTGGGATATTTGAAGGTAGTTGGGGAAGGGAGAGTATCAGGACGAATAGCTAATGGATGTTGGGCTAGATACATAGGTGCTGGGTTAATTTGTGCAGCAAACCACCATGGCACTCATTTACCTATGTAACCTGCACGTCCTGCACATGTACCCTGAAACTTAAAAGTTGAAAATAAAAGAAAAATACAAATGCCTGGGTCGCACATCTAGAGATTCTGATTTATTCATTATGGGAGTGGTCTGAAAGTCAGAATTTTTAAGGCTCATAAATAATTCTACTATATATCCTGAATTGAGAACCATAAATACAATCAGGTGCAGTTCTTATTGAAAAAAAAAAACCCTGAGGTAATTATGAGACATTCTATATCCAAGGCAAATAGGTGGCTTTAGATTTGAATTGAATTAGAAAAGGGACAGCTGTGAACCCACCATGAAAGGATTTTTTCACTTACTGAGAATTAAGAAGACTATGTTCAGTCTTAGGAGAGAAATGTGCGTCCTTCTCTACACTCCTCATCTGTTTCCTCCTGCACACCTTCAGTAATCATTCTTTGCTCCTCAGATTATGGTTGTTTATGGAAAAAAAACAGTTAAGAGACAGATGATAAGGACTGAAAGAGATGAGAGAGACAGAGTAAGACTGACAGAGTGAGAGAGAATGTCTTTATTAAACCACTATAACAAAACAAAACACTTATCACTCTTTCAGCTTCGGGCCCTCATCTTTAATATGCTCCTGAACTACTGGAATCCTCAAGTCATAAAGTTCTTTTCTCAGGGTCAAATCCTTTCACCTCTAGATACAGCAAGAAGTCCTGGAGGGAGGAAGGGAAAGGAGTAAGGAAGAAAGGAAAAGGATTACTCTGCAGAGCAAGAGAGATTTCTCTCTTCCCTTTGCTTCCTGCATGCCTAGAGGGGCAAGGAAAGAATTACCTTCAGTCAAATAATGGCCTATGGCTTTCTCTTACATACCCAAAGGCCACATTCCTTGATCCAATCTCCTTTCAGCTGCACAAGCTCTGTGCCTTCATTTCATTAGAAGGGTAGTTTCTACCACAAACAAGTCTTTGTTCCTGGTACTAGGGTTAGGCCTGGTAATGCTTAAAAGTCTTAAGAAAAAATTTAAAACCCCAATTTAATTTTATGAGAACCATCTGTTTTGATTAAGAATATTTTATATCATAATCAAATGCTGTCAAAGCCGAGGGGCAATCGGTCCTCTGGAGTATCACTTCTCTGAGTTCAAAAAAAAAAATATTCCTGTTTGTTCTAAACCACCTCTAAATTTACTTTGATTTGCAAAGTCAATGTACTTTATATAAACAAACACTGACAATCATTTAGCAATACTATATGACCACTTCTTTCACTGAATGAATATAAATTTTCATGGTCAGAGGACATTTGTGTCCCCATCACATATTTTCTTCAGATCTTAATGAGTGACCTTGAGTCTTAATAACTTTTCCTTTAAGCCAAGCTCTCTTATTTTCCTTTGATATTTTCATCGACTACTCAGCATCCCCCCTAATAAATGAGAAAAGGAGAGGGTGCCCAGTCACAGTGGTATTCTGTCCAGATAAGAGCATGTTTCTATCCTGTCCACTTCCCACTGGTGAAAGCAAGGCATGCTAATTTGCTGCCGGTACTACTCAACCTTACCCTTTAGACAAATTATGTTATCTACGAAATCTACTCTAAGGGAAATTATTGTTCTCTTTCAATTGATTTCCTCATTTTTCACTATCACCAAACCATATTCTGCTTCAATTGATTTGTATTTAGTGTTCACTCAACAATCCTTAATTGAGAACTACCACGTGCTCCTTCTGCATTTAGGAAACAGTTAAGATTCTTGGTATCAACCCTCAAAGAAATGGACAGCTCGCTTTGGTAGAAGAAATAAGAAAACCAAATATGACAAAGAAGGAAATAGACAGGAAGACATATTTGACAAACAGCCATAGTCTTTCCACAGGCCTGCAGAGAAAGGTTGCATTCTAGTATGACTGTCTGTAGCTCAATTTAAACTCGACCCAACATCAAAAGGGAGTGAAACAGTCCGCTGCTAGGTCTCCCCTGACACTCTTAGATTGTCTTCAGGTCTTGAAAAATGTTGAAGGAAACCACATTTTAAAACAAAGTGCATTGTATATCAGTGGACACGCTTCAGTAGATTGGAGAGTTGCTGCAGGCCTCCCTAGAACGCAAGCACTAAAACTCTGTAGGTTGGTGCACAGGAGAAGCTAGTCTTCTTATATTAATCAATCTTTACATTCAAGTAGATATAAAAGTATGAAAAGCTGTGAAGGTGTTAGGAACAAGGGTTAGGGATTATGAACCTCAGTGGACTTAAGGGCCTAATCTGAAATCAAGAGCACTGGGTAAGCTTCCTTACCACCTCGGAGCCCTGAAGGCAGTGATGGTAAAACAGTGAGATAAGATGCCATGGGGTAAAATGCCTGGCTGAACAATACTGCTCTCCTACTTCGGGACGATGAATTGGTTCAGGTCTCACTGTGCCTCTCACTGTCTCCTAAAATTATATTCAAAGTTCGTTTTTTTTGGAAAACATTCCAGACTAATTCTATTAGGTATCTTCCCATAGGTGTATTAAATTCATAAACATGCAAGAAATATAGACATAAGAGTAGACATATAGTTTCTTCTATGTGTGCTGGTTAAGCTATTATCTTCCTAGTGCATGGATAACACAGGCTTTTTTGCATGTTTGTTCTGCCCTCTGCATTAGGTGGCTAACTTTTATAAGGCAAGGATCACAGCTTCACAATCCATTGTCTCTAGACACCTATCTGAGAAAGTCAGATTATTCTCTTGTACAAATGGTGAACTTTATGGTCAGGAACTCATGGAACTACTACACAAATTTAGTCAGATAATAATCGCTATGTGCCTCAGACTTCCCTGCTGAAAATCAGGATCAGAAATAATTTCTTTGTGGGGGTGGTCTGAGAATTCTCATAACGGAAGGCGGCGGAATGTATAAGGCAAAGGTGGTGTGGAATTTCACAGTGCTATTTTTTACCACTTTAGTCTTCCAGTTTGCAAAGAGATATAATTTTAATCCATTGGCTGTTGCATTGAGGACACTTTATTTCTCCATAAGAGCTAACTCTGCCCCCTTGTGCTGGGTAAAATAATTTTTCTATTTTACTAAGTCTATTTTATTTGCATTTAAGTGTTTATATCTATTTGAAAAATCATACCCAGCTACTCTTTTCAGTAAGTCAAGTTATATATTTTCTTTAATAGGGTTCCCTGGAGTCACTTTTTCCATTTTTTTTTTTTCATATTTCTTCCTTTGTTCAATTCATCTGCAACATTTTATGTTTAAAGTGCAATTCTTCACAAGGTCCCTTTGATGCTATTCATTACAGGCCAGTCCTTGTTGAGTACTGTCTCAATTAGTCTTACTGTCCAATCTTTACCATTTCATAAGGAATAACTAAGAATTAAGGGACAAAAGACCAAAATGTGGTAGCAAGAGCTGAGGGCAGTATTGAAACTTCTTGAGGAGTATGACAAAAAGATCCGTCAATTCAAAATGTGTACGTGGGAGTTCACATGGATTGCCTCGTTTCCTGATTGAAGATGTGTTTTCATTGTTCTGATCAGTAAGTTATATAGGTCCTTTTCTAAAGAGTTGAGGCATAAATTAACGAATAAAAATATTCTACTAGATTCCATGGGAAACAACTTGTCCTGCAGACTAAAAGTCTAATTGCTTTGTTAAACAACAACACAAAAGAGCAGGATACAATTAAGAATTAGCAATCTAAGTCACCAACAAAATGAGCATCTTTGAACTTCTGAGAGAATATATATTCAAGTAGTCTGAAAAAAAGTAAGTGATGAAACTTAAAGTAACCCTTGCAGGGTAAATTCTGGTGATGTATTAAAAATGAATTCAGTAGTGCTCAGAATTAGTGACAGAACTGGAGAACAAGGCTCAAGGTTGCTTGGAAAAGAAAATGACCCAAAACACCTTAGAATTGGTTCTGATGAGGAAAAAATAAAAGTCTGCTTCCAGAGAGAAAAAACTTGCACCACTTGCTTCTCGAAGTATCTTAAGCATAGCCAGTGGCCCTGGGATATTTTCTTCCTGAAGTGCAGGTCCCAAAATGTAGCTTATGCCACAGCTGAAGAGGAGGCTGAGAAAGTCAGTTCCTCTCCAGTAACGGAAGTAATCTCTTCACTGAGACATAAAATGTGGTTAGAAGGGGACTGGCAATCTCTAGACTTACACATGGATGGGCAGATATCGGGTGGCCACTATGAATGACAAACACTCACTATCAGCAACCTCTTTTCAGTCAGCATCAGCTCATGAGACTTAAAAAGATTTAACAGGAAGAGTGTATCCATGTTCTCAAACTCTCAACATTTCGGAGCTAGCAGGGACATTAACACTTCTTCAGCCCAGTCTTTTTAAGGAGTAAACCAAGCCTCAGAGACATAAGAAGCTATACCCAGGGCCACACAGCTGATTACTGGTGCAGCCGTGATTAATGCTCTGGTCTTCTA